CCAAATCTCTTGGCATAACTGAGTGAGTGCCTCCAATGGGGCATCTGTTTGTTGAAATATCTCAATCGGTATGCCATCAATTCCCGGAGCCTTGTTCTTCACCAGTTCTTTCAAATGGAAGTTTAGGAATATTTTTATTATCCTGAGTATTTTTCCATGGCATTATTTACTACAATCTGATTTTATTAACAGTTAGTGCTATTACATGTACAGCTGAGACCCTTTCTCTGAAATCAGACATTAGAGGCAGGATTAATCATTCAAGGTGCAGGGTCTCTTGAACAATTCTGCTCTATGTTGGTTTCCTGGGAGAATGGCAATCGTTTTCTGGGTGAGTTTCTCATAACCAATTTACTCACCAGATCACAATCTCCCAGATCTAATTTCTCTAAGGATGAATTAATTTGTAGCATTGCAGCAAAAAACATTCCACCTTTATTTTCAATCTTGTTTCCAGTCATTCTTAGGTATTTCAGAGTTGTGTTCTTCTGAAAACAATCAAAAGTTAAGATATTTAAGTTTTTAGTATACAGAATTCTCTTTCAGTTGTCTCAGTTGGAGACTATTTTACTAGGATATATTCCTTAAACTGTAATTCAATTTCCCATAATACAAAAAAAAAAAAAAATCTAGTGTAATATAATACCAAGAATGTTTAGGAAACACATGCACAAACAATGACCAGTAAATAAAATACATATTAATAAACTTTATTTTCATTGGAAAATCTGCAAATTTATCTTCTAAGAAACCTATCTGTTTTTATTGTGGTAAAATTCACATAATATAAAACTGACCATTTTAAAGTGTACAATCCAGTATCACTTAGTTCAGTCACAATGTTTTACAACCATCACCTCTATCTAGTTCCAAAACATTTTCTTCATCCCTAAAGAAGACCCTGTACCAATTAAAGTCATTCTCCATTCCCCCTGTATCATTTTCATAAATAATATTTTACTGTGTTTTCAATGCAAGTTTACAAAGCAAATTAGAGTCCAATGTAACAATTCCTACACAAATTGTTCAGAGATATTGGTTACACTTTTCACAATGTGCTAACATTGTCATTAATTCCCTCCTGAATGTTTTATCTCCATTAGTCTCGTTTCCTTGTCCCCTTACCCTTTCACCTTTGTTTTAGAGTAATAGTTGACCATTTTGTTTCATATAGCTGATTTTTAAAAGGTGTTCAATACTCACTGGTAATATTCCTTATTTTATGAGCCATTATATTTTTTCACTAAAAGGTGCCCTGTTTCAGTTTAAGGATTATGGAGTATTTCAGGGTGATAGTCTCAGGGAGTCTTCTAACCTCAACTGGTCCAGTAAGTTTGGACTTTTTAAGAATTTGAGTTCTGTTCCACATTTTTCCCCCCACCAGGATCCATCCATTGTAGCCCTGATTAGAATGGTCATTAGTGGTAGCTGGGCACCATCTAGTTTTTCTGATCTCAGGGTAGATGAGGCTGTGTAGTTCATGGAGACTGTTAGTCCTATAGACTAATTTTCCCCTGAATCACTTCTAAAGTGATATAATTCCAAAGACATTTGCAAAATTTAATTCCTTCTCTTATCCTACTCTTCTGATAAATCTTGCACAAAAATATTACAGATGTTTCATAGTTTTAATGAATATGTGTTGTTGTTGTTGTTGTTGTTATGTGCCACTGCAAAAACGGCAAGGAGGCCACATCTTCCGACCTCCTCTAACCCTACAGGAGGAAGACCGGATTACCAGCAGTAACCCAAGGCCTATTCCTACAAGGCCAGACATGCTGCCTCCCTCCAGCCCTTTCTCCAACCGTTCCTCCCAAAGCACCACCACCTCTCTCCTGGGTTCGATAATTTGCTGCAGTGGCCACACAGAACTCACAGATTATGGAGTTTATTAGGGAAGCACCAG